AGGCAAATATTGCCCAACATAATTTACACACGCCCAGCAATTGTGCAAACAAAATGCAGCCGACAACCTTTCGCCCGACTCCACAAACAGCAACAACAACAACGACAACGTGTTTAATAAACAATCCAATATGTCTAGATAATTAACGCTAGGCTATGTTTACAGGGCGGGGGGCCCTGAGAAATTTCGGCGTAATTGAGTGGCTTATTTGCCTCGTCGATTACATATATATATATGTATATGCATATATACATATATATGCATATATGTACTTGTAGATGAAGACGAACTTGTAGTTGTAGTTGTTTGGCTATTTGCCTAATGCGTTGCTATATTTGTCCAGCTAAAAAGTAAGTAAAAGGAAACGAAAACAATCCTGTCTAACCGGTCCATAAAAATAGAAACGTTCATTACGCAAGAATGTGCCCTAAAACGATGCAGCCAAGTGCCTAAGAACAACAAGAACCTGAAATCTGCATAGTAGTAGAAAGATTAATTAACCCGTCGCAAGGCGCAAGCAGAAGCACCAACAACAACAACAGCAACAACAATAATAATAGTTGCAACAACAGCAACATCGACAAGCAACAACTATGCGACTATTTGCTGCCACGACGCCGGCAGCGATGTTGTCTCACAGCTCCAGCGATGAGGCTGGCGAAATTATAGAGAACGCGCACATCGACGCCAGCAGAAAACAAAGGCAGTCTGCTGGGGCGGTGGCGGGAACGGTAACGGGAGCTGGAGCTCTAGCTGTAGCAGGACGGTCTGCAGCTGGAGCTGAGGCTGGCAGGGATGTCGGTGCCACGATCTACAGCAACCACAGCAAGTCAAGGTCATTGGAACGCTATGCGGGCCCGCCGTCACAGCAGCAACTGCAGCTACAGCTGCCGCCCTATGCCACGCCCACGGGCAGCACGCGTCGACGCTTGCTGTCGCCGTTTCGATCCATGAAGCGGCGCAGTCGCAGCAGCAGCAGCAGCGGCGAATCACAGGCCTACAATCATCTGGCATTGGTGGTGGCCAATGCAGCCGCCGCCGCAGCCGCCGCAGCCGCAGCTACCACTGGCCAGGCCAAGGCCAGCTCCCAGAGCGGTGACAGCGGCACCGGCGGCACGGAGCTGGAGCATGAGCTGGAACTCGATTTGGAACTGGATCATGATGATGAGCAGGAGCACGATGAGAGCAGTCAACTGAGTCTCAGCTACTCGCAGCTCAGCAGCAGCGGCTGCGATGAGGCAGATGCCGATGACGAGGCAGCAACCGTAGCAGCAACGCAAGCGTCGCAGCTGGCGTCGCATTCGAATGTTGTTGATGTTGCGCTGCAACATGTTGCCGACGAACGGCGGCGACGCAACATCTTGTCGCTGTACTCCTCCTCCTCCGAGGAACAGCTGCACTGTCGCATCGGTGACATCACCCTCATGGATGACACCTACTCCAACTGCGATCCACAGAACGACGCGGAGCGGATGTTTCTACAAATCGTTGGCATGTTGCGCGATGAAAATGAGGTTTGTGTATTGGCTAAATGCCCCTAAGAATATGTTCTCTGAGTGTCTCTCTGTATTTACTACTATGAATATACTAGGGGTACTCACTCACACATATGCAGATAAATTTGCGGGAATCGCCATATATACGCCTGACAATTTTAATTAAACACATTCCTAGGTCTCCCACGCTTTCGCTTTGACGGAATTAATTTCTTGACTCAGGCCCATAATGCATGGGCCATAACTCAAATTTGTATTAATAATTTTCTTCTCAATAAAAAAGCGATGAAAATGCATCAGCAACTGCATCCCATCAATGGAATTGCACGATTGTAAGCTTAATTAATTAACCATTTGATTTACGCTTTGATTACTTAAATTAAAGCCGAAATGAAAGCAAATGAAAGTTGTCTTGCCTATTTATTACAAATGTTGATAAAATATTGCTTCTTTTAAAAGATGACAAAATGATTTTCATTAAATTGATTTCTATTTGTGATTTAATTCAACTAAGAATAGACGAACTGATGCGGCAGCACCTGGCCTCCTGCTAATCCATTTGACATGGCAAATGACAGCAAACGCCATAAAATGCCCGCAAGTCACATTTCCAGAGCAAACAAAGGCATTTTTAATAAGCAAGCGGCCGTGGACGCCCTAAGGTGCTTTGTCCACCAGCTCGCGATCTAGCTGGGATGCCATAGAAAAAATGTGCACAACTTTTCTGGCTTAGCTGGCCAGCGGCTGGCAATACGAAGAAGTCGCATTAGCTGCTGCTATGCCTGGCGAGTGGCACGTATTAGCTTGCACCATGCTGCACACTTTTTTTATTCGTATGTTTTTTTTTTTTTGTATTTGTTGTTGTGATTATACAAAGGCAGACCAGGCTCCGCCCTATTGGCAGCCATTGTGACTTTACAAGGATTCCCGGTCCACTTTGACGCATCTTTGGGGCTTTTGCTTTGTTGCCGTTGATTAAAACTGCAAAAAAGTTTACTGCCATACGCGAGCTACCAGAACGTGCAGTAAAAGTGCATTGACCTCCTATCGGCTGGTGTAGTTTTCATAATGACTTCGATATCAAACGTTTTCTTGTCTTTGTTGTAGCAGCAACGTTGGCTTGTTGCCACTAATTAGTGCTGCTTTCAACAGGGCCGAGTCACGCTGCATATTTGCAGTAAACATCAAATTATTGATTGCAGCGGGCAACAATTTGCGGCGACAAGCGAAGCCTAACCGTCGCCTCTCCTGCGGCCTTTGTTGTGCTCCCCTTTTGCTAATTAAACAGAAATGCAAAGCGGTTAAAAACTCTGCCATCAGTTTTTGCTGTCGTTCTTTGAGGAAACAAAAAATGCACAGTCAATTGCAACTTCAAATTGTGTTTACACCTAATTAGCTGAAGCACGAAACTTTACAAAATGAATAAGAGAAAATACAATTATGTAACATCGCAGAATAATAAAATATGATGATTGATAAACCGAAACGCAAGACCAAATAATTAACAAGAAAGCACGAAGTCTAAATAACTCTTTAAAAATATGGCTTGCAGGTTTGCCAAAAGAATTGTGAAACTTGTAAAGACTGTCTTGCAAAGCAGAAGAATTTATTCATACATAAGCCCATTTTTTGTCATATTCTTCCTAAAGAGCTATATTATTGCTCATACGTAACGAGCATAGGGAAACTAATAAATGTTGAGTTTGGTCAAGATATCTTGAAATATTTTTAAACTTCAAATTTTAAAATGTATGCCTAAAAATATATTTCTAAACTTTTAATATCCTAACTAAATTAAAAGTAATCAAAGCAAAGGTCAACAGCAGGAGTAGAAACCTCCCGAAAAATGTGCAAAAACTGCAAGTAAAAGTTAAAGGGCAAACAATGCTGGGGCCGTCGAGACGGACTAGCTCATGTAAAATTGCCCCTGCATGCATTATGAAGCATAAACTTTCCCCTGGGAGCTAGCAGAAGCTGCAAAGTTCAAAATCATAAACACAAACTTCAAGAAAACTGAATTACATAGAGGAAAAAGAAGGGTACAGCAGCAGCAGAAGCAGCAGCAGCAAGCAAGCAAATAAGTATAACTAAATAAAATAATAGAGTAAATGGGGCCAGCTTGCCATGCCGGATGGTATCCTTGCATATTGGCATCCTGGTGGCTTGTTGTACTGTACTGTGGCAGAGTTGAAAGTTGAAGTTGTGCGCAGGTAAATGCATTTTGCTTGTTGCATGCATTTTGCATGCAAAATGGCAGCAATGAAAGTTTCTGTTGCTAACTCCAAAGAGAACGACAGCAGCCCCGTCAAATGGTCTGCCAAAGCGAAATGGAAAAGCGAAAATGATGAAAATCTGCAAAATGAAACGTGTGCCATGCTGCACAGTGCAGCAGCTGCCACTTTCCACCTACAAGCCATTTAAATTGGCGACGCCTGGCTGCCCGCATGTCCCCTGCTTACACATCAAAGTTAAAGCGCGCCCTTTGCCTTTTACGGCTAATGAAGAGTGGGCTTACAAAGTAGCTGTGACAGCGACACGACCGAAGCAAAGAATATGCCTTTGATTAACTTATGCCCAACTTTAAATTACAGCTCGCTCCATTGAGGCCCAACAATGTCCAACCATAAGGACATTACCTCATTATTGCCGCAACAATGCGAGCTATGGGTCGTATGCTTAATATTCTCATAATGAATATAGTGTCTTGCCTTTGCCAAACAAAAAGCCATGTGAAAATTAAACAGGCCAGCCGAAAAGTAGGCAACAAACAATTTAGGACAATGGACGAGAAGAGTTTCATGTGAGCTCTATGTGTGAATATGGGTGTGTGTGTGTGTATGTGTATGTAAACACAATTTGCGTCTTCTGTTGTTGTTTTCTCTTATTTTATCTCTTCTGATGGAGCATTGTGCATATAAGCCAACTAAAAGCTGAAAATCAAATTAAAAGCTAATTATATATTCACAAAAGTCAGCCTATGCAAAACTTAATTGAACTCAAGCAAGACAGGCAGAGAGCGCAATTTATATTTTAAATCAAATTAAAAATATTAAAGTATCTTCATAAGATAAGCAAGATTTTGATTGCTCAAAAGTAAACTAAATATTAAAATTGTAAGGAGCTAATATTTTGTGGCATAATTAAAAATGCATGCATGAATAAAATTGTATATAAAATTACACATAATATGAATAAATTATCAAAATCCTCGCACACACATAATAGGGAGGAACATGACGAGCGATCTAACAAGTTAAATATATCTAGAATATAATTATATGCCAAATAAGGTCTACCTGGATTTTATAGTTTTTGTGTTATACCTAAAAGTGTGAAAATCGATTTTTATACGATATCGTATTGATGAAGAATATGATCACATAGAGTACTGTGATGGGAGATGTTTTCTACTACCTCTTACTTTTATTTACATGAAAAACTTAATAACCTTTTTAAAATTGATGTATATTACTAAATGCAATGCGTTAAACTTGTTACTTGCAGAAAATGCGCCAATTCCAGAAAGTGCTAGAGGACTTGAGCTCCCGAGTCGCCCTAGCTGAACAAACAAAGAACGCCTGGCAGACGCCCACATCTGTGGGCGAAGCTAATGAACAGATGCAGCAGCTGCAACGGCTGCGGGACAAGATGACCACGGCGAGTGCTTTGTTGGATGACTGCAACGAGCAACAATCCTTCTTCACCGCCAACCAGGTGCTCGTGCCGACGCCGTGTTTGTCCAAGCTGGAGGATTTAAATACACGGTAAGTGTACGCTATGGGCTTTGGCAGCTGCAACAGGACGGCACTAACAGAGATTTTCTTTTGCCTGTTTTTTCTGCTGCTGCAGCATGAAACTGTTGCAAATTGCGATGGACGAGCGCCAGAAGGTTTTGTGCCAGGCGGGTGCAAATCACACGCACGAGAACGGCGACGATGGACGCAACACATCGAACAGTGGCACCATTGGGCCATTACCTAATTTGGGACAGAGTGTTAAGCCGCCCTGGGAGCGTGCCACGACCGCCGCCAATGTGCCTTACTACATCGAGTAAGTATCGATACCTGAATTCCACCTATGACATCAGCCAATCAAAACTGAACCCAACCTACCAACTTTTCTGCAGCCACGAACGAGAAACCACTCACTGGGACCACCCGGAGATGATTGAACTAATGAAGGGACTTGCAGATCTCAATGAGATTCGCTTCTCAGCCTATCGCACGGCCATGAAATTGCGCGCCGTCCAAAAACGACTGGGTGAGTATTCGCCCGCAGACTACATCATTTACGCTGACAGCTTCGTGAAAGAAATCCTCAAAAGAAGCAGCAACCCAATTTTATTTGCTAGCTAATATTTGAAATGCCTATCAATAGTATTTTTTACAAAAGTGATTGATTATTATAACATGCAGAATCGACCAAAGACGGGGTTTTTTTAAACTTAGTCCGACTGACTATTCAAATGTTTTTTTAATCTACAGCTCATGCCGTAAGAGGTAGACAGCTCAATTTTTGCCTTACCTTTTATAACGCAACTGAATTCTAGGACGGATCTGAAGACTACACACAAGAGTGTAATATTTGTGAAAGACTATTGTATGAAATTGTTTTTTATTTAAACAATCGCCTTTAATATAATATATATATATATATGAATATATAATATAAATATTACATATACATATTATATAAATTATTTCCAAACAAATATGAACGCTCTAGTTGGAAGTGCCCATCTGGCGAATACCCTGAACCTCGAGCCGAGCTGCCGCTGCAAACATTCTGCCTTCCTTCTATACATACATTTTGAGTTACGCTAAGCAACCATTTCTTCGATTCGATACTATATCGAAACAAAATTATAAGCTCGTTTGGTGAATGCCACTTCAAGTCTGGGGCTTTTGTAGTTTTCCATTTCGACGCGTCGGCTAGATGGACTTAGCTGGCTTGTTAGTCCACCTAAGCCACACGGGCTTTTCATATAAACTTGGACCTCCGCTTTCTCCCACTTGAGTGGCAATTTTCCATATCATATTACCCTTTTAGGCCGTGCGTTAAACACCAAATGTCAGCTAGTCAGTCTGTCGTGAGGACTCTGCCCCATGTTTATATACATAGATCTTTAGAAACTTGCTGAAAAGCATTGCTGCCGAGCATATTTAACAACTTTTCATGTTTTTCACTTGAAGCGCTCGATCGCATCTCAATGGCCACTGCCTGTGAATCGTTCGATCGACACGGACTTCGGGCCCAGAACGACAAGCTGATTGACATACCGGACATGACGACGGTGCTGCATTCGCTCTATGTGACAATCGATAAAATTGATTTGACGCTAATGCTCGACCTGGCCATCAACTGGATACTGAATGTGTACGACTCGCAGCGCACCGGGCAAATCCGTGTGCTCAGCTTTAAGGTGGGTCTCGTCCTGCTCTGCAGGGGTCACCTCGAGGAGAAGTACCGCTATCTGTTCCGCCTGGTCGCCGACACCGAACGGAGAGCGGATCAGCGACGCTTGGGACTCCTACTACACGATTGCATACAGGTGAGTGATGGGTGGCATTAAGGCACTTTGCATAATCCAAGTGATTGTTTGGCCATCATCGTTACAGGTACCGCGTCAATTGGGAGAGGTGGCCGCCTTTGGTGGCTCCAATATTGAGCCCTCGGTGCGTTCGTGCCTGGAGCAGGCGGGCATATCACAGGAGGCCATCGATGGCAATCAGGAAATCTCAATAGAGCTGCAACACTTCCTTGGCTGGCTGCAGCACGAGCCGCAGAGTCTCGTCTGGTTGCCTGTGCTGCATCGTCTGGCTGCTGCGGAGGCGGCCAGGCATCAGGCCAAGTGCAACATATGCAAGGAGTATCCAATTGTGGGCTTCCGCTATCGCTGCCTCAAGTGCTTCAACTTTGACATGTGCCAAAAGTGTTTCTTCTTCGGAAGAAATGCCAAGAACCATAAACTAACGCATCCCATGCACGAGTATTGTACAACGGTTCGTATGCTTAATGAGCTGCCAGGCGACCATCGGCTATAAGAGCCCTTTTCCCTTTAATCCTATAGACCACATCCACCGAGGACGTGCGCGATTTCACGCGGGCGCTCAAGAACAAATTCAAGAGTCGCAAATACTTCAAGAAACATCCACGCGTCGGCTACCTGCCCGTGCAGAGTGTTCTAGAGGGTAAGCAGAGCATCAAGCAGAGCATCAAACATTAACTAATCTTTACCCTCGCATTTTGTACCATACGCAGGTGATGCACTTGAGAGTCCGGCACCCAGCCCGCAGCACACGACGCATCAGCTGCAAAGCGACATGCACTCGCGGCTGGAGATGTATGCCTCTCGGCTAGCGCAGGTGGAGTATGGGGGAACCGGCTCGAACTCAACGCCAGACAGCGATGATGAGCATCAGCTAATCGCACAGTATTGCCAGGCACTGCCCACGAACAATGGCAGCGCGCCCAAGTCGCCGGTTCAGGTGATGGCCGCTATGGATGCAGAGCAGCGCGAGGAGCTGGAGGCCATCATACGCGACCTTGAGGAAGAGAATGCCAATCTGCAGGCCGAATACCAGCAGCTGTGCAGCAAGCAGCAAAGCGGCACACCCGACGACTCAAACGGCATGCAGCACTCCAGCTCCAGCATGACGGGCCTGTCCAGCCAGGGCGAACACGGACAGGTTAGCCCAAAAAATTGGCATATGTGAATGTAATAAATCTATATTTTGTTGCACTTGCTTGCAGGACATGATGGCCGAGGCGAAGCTGCTGCGCCAGCACAAGGGCCGCCTGGAGGCGCGCATGCAAATACTCGAGGATCACAATCGCCAGCTGGAGGCGCAGCTGCAGCGTCTACGCCAGCTGCTCGACGAGCCCAACGGCGGCGGCTGCAGCAGCGCCAACAGCAGCGGACTGCCCAGCGCTCCCGGCTCAGCGCTCAATTCCAAGCCAAACACGCTGCAAACACGCTCGGTAACCGCCTCGCAGCTGAACACCGACTCACCAGCCAAGATGAACCAGCAGAATGGCCACTACGACCACAATTCAAGTGAGTAGCAGCAGACAAATCGGGCGGGAATCAGACATAGGTCTGCTTAGCTTAAGTCTATAGGTATCTCGCACTTAACCCCTGCCTGTGCGCATCTAACTGAATAATATCTCAATGCTTGGCCAACTCTTGACTATTTACTTTTTATATGCGCATACTTAGAGGGCATTATGCTGCCCGGTCTCAGCAACGAGCTGCAGCAGCATTCGCAGCTGGCCAGCCTGGCCGCCAAGCATCATCAGCACCAACTGAGCGGCGCCTTAAACGCACTGCATCAACAGCAGCAGCAGTTGCAGCACTCGCAGAGGGGCGTCCTCACCGGCAACGGCGGCATCGACATGCCCAATAGCGGCATGCAGATGTCCAGCTACTTGGGCGACGACGGTCGTCCGCCTCCTCCACCGCACTCCAGCTTGCTGCAGCAGCAGATGAACGGTGCGAAAATTGTTGGAATGCATTTTTTTTGTTTTTTTTTTTTTAGTTGACTTTTGGTTTTCTCAGTTGGTTCAGTTGTGGTGATATTTTGTTTTAGCTAGTGACAACAAATCAAAAAGTTTTAATGGATTTGTATTTCGTTGCTTCACTGCAGCTTCTTGCTTTTTATGTTGTTTGTGTTTGATGGTCAAACTCTATTTATTCAGAAAAACTAATGTGAACTTTCTCTTGCTTAATCCCCCCTGCCATTGCCACCTATATGACTATAGATCTTACCTAGAGCGTTCGGAGTGTATGTCAAAGCGGTAATACAAACCTTTCTGTTGTTCAAATTAAAAATCGAAATATATAATGTATGTCCAAATATAATGTATGTATACCTGACGATATTGCTTGTTTTCACCTTGAAACAGAAACAGCTGATAATTTGGTCACTGTCATCACGGAACAGGAAATCGAGTCCAACAACGATGACTTGGATGAGACGAGCAGCTGCGCGACTACAAATACAACGACGACGACGACCACAAATACGGAGAAAACCTATGTGGATTTAAGGAAATAAGTTTCGATATCTACTAAAAAACTAAAAAAAAAAGAAGGAAACAAGGAAGCCCAACTTAAGGATACTTCACTGTAATGGCGGGCGTGCAAGCAAATTCTAAACAGTATACATATACTTACAAATATCACTATAAATAATTACAAAACGCAACTTATACATATAAATGTCGTGGTACATATATTTATATATATGAATATAAAAACAAAAAAAAAAAAAAATCAAATATTTGAAAGCTGAAAGTTTTTTATTAGCTATGAGAATATATATATCAATAATAAGAGAATAATACATATTAAAAGCTGAAAATAATGCAGAAATATAAATTGTAGTTAAGAGTCTTATACTAAATAAACTTCGTAATAACGAATGCATAACCAACTGCGAGCACTTGCAAAATTGTTAAAGAAGCACTTTTTTCAAAACAATGCAACAATAGATTTAAAGCCAATTTCAAGGTTCCCTTTTACTTGATATACAACAAATTGCTAAGGTATATTTAGTAAGAATTAAAATGCAATCTTATTTACCCGTTCACCCTGAATCAAAGATATTTTATTTCAGTTTAATTTGTAATTTATTATATTCCATTTATGTGTATTTTGTATTATAATGTTATATGTGCTAACTAAAAGTGTGCTGCAATGTAATTAATTAAAGAATTAGTCATTATTGAACAATTTATATTTGAATTTTGATTTGGTTTGTTTTATTCATTTCACCTTTTCAGCTTTGATTGTTTTAATAATTATTTTAATTGTAGATACAATATTTATTTGTGTTATACGGATGACAAAACGATGACTATATGGACCACCTTTTCTATAACCTTTACTATCAAAGTATAATAAACACATGAGATGTTCACTAGATAAATCAATATAATTCCACTTAATACTACTAGTCAAATTAAATCCATACTTACCCACATATGCATATATGAAACCGATAAATACAACTCAAATCGCTTTACATACCAAACTTAAAGTACGTTTTTAGAATTCTAAAGGAATGGAACTAATATAATCACATCATAAATTACATATGCAAAAATATAAAATACTTACAAACATATATCAACAAAGGTACCATTTATTATTCTAATAGAGCAAATGGCAAAATATAACACTCAAAAATATTCACAACCATAAATAGAGCTTTTGAAAAAATCAAAAACATAAAATATCTTTTAAAATGCATTTTTATTTTAACCTAACAATATTTTAATCAGTTAAAAAAAGTAGACAATATTAAAAACAAAAAATTAAATCACTGACATTCAATTAAAGTTTTCAAACTGAATGCAACTTTTCAAGTAAAAGCAAATTCAATATACAATACAAGAACTGACTATTTAAATACATATAGACTTTTCTATGTATATGCTATTCCCCACAACTCACAATCAGTGTAGACATGTTACCCACTATGAATATTTTTCTAACCGATGCCGACAAGGAAGTCCTACCAATAACCTACAGTTTAAAACCCTCCGTTTCAAGTTTAAAACGAATGAACCAAAAGAAGAGCTAAAGTGAAAAATAATATAATTGAATAATTCATTGAATAAACATATGAAGTTATTAGAAAACATATCCCTAATAAAGATGATAAAATATAAATACACTTATAAATAAGCTGAAATAACATAAATATATTCAACACGAATTTAAATACACGCATGTTACTTAAACTTAAAGATCAACAATAAATGAATGTTCGTGTTCTTTTAGATTCGATTCGCAAAATACTCAAATTATTGCTGCTGATAAGGTAAGCCATAATTTTGATTTCAGAATCGCAACGGTAAACTCTGCTAACTTTGATATTATTTGTATATTTATAAAAAGAAATAAAATAAATAATAGGAAGTGAAGCAATTCAAGCATATCCCAAAATAGTCTTCAGTGCATCAAGTGGTTGTCTATGATAAATATGGTATTCTATATGCCATTATATAAAATATATGATATAAAACTAGACAAAAGCCAAACAATCAACGAAAATTATACAAAATATACTACGTGCTATATTAGGCTCTTTATTTGGTAAATATTCATACGTATGTATGTACAATATATAATCGAAATATTTTAGCGCAACTCAATGTCACATACATACTTATGAAGCTTATTAATAACTACCTACTACTAAGTTCACTTAGAGAAATTGTGTCCAATTGTAAAGCATCAGAGCACTCACTCACTATATGCTAAACCCTTAGTTTAATACTTACCACTCCACTAGAGAAACGGCTTATTATTGGTATTGCAATTATCGAATGAAAATTGAATTGAAGTTCTCGCTTATTTGTTTCTCTACTACGTAGAATCGAAGGTAGACAAAGGGCTTGACTAAGCTCCAAAATTATTTTAGTGGTAGCTTGTGCATGAGCACGGGCAAATTCAATTGTACCTATCTTTTGATACCGTTTACTACAAAACTAAGGACTATAATCTTATTAAATTGTATATCTGATTTGATGCAGTAAGACCAATGCAAGAATATAAATATATATGTGAACTTTATTTGTAACTTGAAGCAGATGAAATCTATGATGCGATCTTACACATTTCAATCTGTTCTACGAATGGTAGAAAGTATATATACACACTCATATATAATGCATCCATATACATACATACATATACATGTGCAAACATGCAAAAATACTAAAAATAATATCAACAAATAATACTTAAATGTTTATATACAAAACACACACATATATTTATACATAATGGAATAATTATACTATGTCATACAATACAAACAAAATATGAACATTACAAAAAGTTGATACAATAAAAACAAAATAAAAGAAAAAAACACATTGAGTTCTAATGAATTACTACCTGGTATTTTCCGGCCTTGACAGCTCCAAGGATCTTGCTTCAGATTTTTGTACCCATTTCCAACCCATAGAAAATTGATATCTACTTACACGGTCATTAACTGCATGTCTAAATTCATATGTTCATTTTATAAAGTTAATCGAATAAAGTACACGAAGTTAGAATCTAGCTGTAAAGCTTGAAGCCCAAAAATCAATTTTCGTTCATATCCAAGGAAGGTGACTTTTGCGAACAGTGTGAAACACGACTTATATGAATTTTCACACAGATTTTTAAAAATTAGTTTCAAGTCGATTTATTGAAGACCGACTTAGCAAACACCTTTATCACATTAGGTTACCACACCTTTAAAAATTCAACTTCCTAGCTCTGACTGGATGTGTGCGTTGGTCACAGTCATTCAGTCAAAACGTTTTATTTATAGAAGTAAATAAAAATGTATTTGAAAAAATGTTTCTTTATTTGGATTTTAAATAACAAGTTAACAACAAAATTGTATTGCTTGTCAACTAATGTTGATTGTTAGCTCCAAGTCATTATCAGTTTCATTGTTGTTAAATAATTCATTATTAATATATAGTTTTTTTTTTGCGAACATATAAATATTGACAACTGCTGCTAAATTTCAACCAGCGTCTGCTAACTTGTTAGTTCGACGCTTAGACAGCTGAGCATCACAACAAAAATTACGTCAATGTTGTGTTGCTTTTATGTTTTTCATACAAAATTCCCTAACTTGCGAATTTCTAAATTTATCCAGGTTAGTGCTCAATTTCGAAATAAAAGGAAGCTTTAGTCCAAATTACAGCCTCGTGCTCTTACGGCTTAGGCTATTAAGCTAGTTCGGTCATTCAGTCACGATAAAGCCTATATAAGAATATTTTATTTTTATTATTTTTTTTCATTATAAAATATGTTTTTATTTTGCGCTGGAATCAGTGCCTTCTGATCTCTACCAAGCGAATAACTAAGGGAATAATGTATAGTTACTAGTACGTAACTTATAAGTGAATATTATTAAAGTTAATTCAGACCTGGGCACGGTCTATCTCGTATGTACTATATTCGTATTCAACTATACGTCAATACCATTTAATTTTTTGCCTATGATAGAACTGGACAACAATATTCAACGAAACTAAAAATCGATGGGTTAAAAAAAGTTGTTGACCAAAAAACGATTCGTTTGTAAAGTCAACCGTTTTTGATGATTTTTTGGAATATATCGGCCAAATAATGTCAGATTTTGTAAATTTATACCATTATATACTCGTAAGGATCAGTACTTTCGATTGGCATCAAACAAATAAAAATATAAATTTTGACCCAAATCGGCCAAATGGCAAGGGGTTACATCCATCACGTCTTTCCTCAAATTCGGTGCGCCTCGAAAATCAAAACTTTTTTGTTGATTTTTATTGAATATTTCGGTTAAATATTGTCTGATTTTTAAATGTTATACCTTTTTGAATTCGTACGGATCCCTACTATCAATTAGCATTTAAACAAATTAAAAATCGATGGCTTAAAAAAGTTGTTCAGTAAAAAACGATTCGTTTGTAAGGTCAACCTTTTTTGTTGATTTTTTGGAATATCTCTGCCAAATAATGTCAGGTTTTGGAATTTTATACCATTACATACCCGTAGGGAACAGTACTATCGATTGGCATCAAAAATATAAAATCTAAATTTTGACCCAAATCGGCCAAATGGCAAGCGGTTACATCACTTTTTTTCTCAAATTCGGGGTCGGTTCGAAAATCAAAACTTTTTTGTTGATTTTTATTGAATATCTCGGGTAAATAATGTCTGATTTTGAATTCGTACGGATCCCTACTATCAATTGGCATTATATTTGCCATTGTTAGCTTTATAGACTCAGGTGTTCGCAGTCCTTTCGAAACTTTTTATTCACAGACAGCAGAAGGCAAAAATATATACATATTAACTCAAAATGTGTGTAAATAAAAGCCAACATCAGAGTAATATTTTATTCTGATCGACTTGAGCCCCAAATATACATATTGATCAACTCGCCAAATACTGATAAGCCGATTTTAAATTTTTATTATTATTTCAAGTTCAAATACCTTAGCCGCGAAATTAAGCTTCTACTTGAAATATAACATCACATAACCAACATAGTATGTGAACCTATATATTAAGTTAAACTTATGAGATAAGCCCGCGTATTGAGAACAAAATATATGTTTGTATGTACGTAAAACCAACATCCAACGACGAACACAACAATGGATAGAGTAGACCGTTTAGGGAGTAGATGATATGGAGGAAAGCATAAAGTCAAAGAAATAGATGTTAAGAATATAATTGAGCAGTCAAGTCAAAGCAAAGAACAGGAGAAGCTGGAGTGCTAGATCGACTTCTAGTTGCCAAATGCTTGTCGAACTCAGTGGTGATAGTAGGCATGTGGGTCAGCGGCGGGATAGTGTGCGTACGGAGAATGGGCAAGGGCAGGATAGGCGGCTTGGAAGTGTGCGGTGGGCAGGTGAACGGGAGCCACGGGTCCTGGTGCGGGAGCAGGAGCAGGTGCTGGTGCTGGAGCGGGTGCTGGTCCTCCATGATGTAAAGCGCTCAAGGCATATGGATAGGAGAGCAATGGTAGCGAGGGCTTGGGTACTGGCGGCAACGGAGGTGCTGGCGCCGGTCCTGCAACTGGACCATGCGGTCCAGGTGCTGGCCCAGCCAGATGCTTGTAGGCTAGCGGCTCCTTACGCACAACTGCATTGAAGCCATTATGGGGATCGGCTGTGTAGTCAACGGTGCGCTTGGTGCCATCCGGATCCACAACCGAATAGCTGCCCTTGACCACATCGCCATGGCGTGTTTCATGCTGGCTCTTCAGATCGCCGGTGTAGCCATCCTGTATGTCATAGCCAAAGGAGTACTTGGGATCAGCATCGTACGGTTCCGGTGCTGGCTTGGGTGCTGGAGCTGTGCACGAAATAATATCACGTTGCACTTAAATTTCTTCAATGTCTCAATCTACTCACCAGGTGCCAAGTATTGCGGTGGTCCGTGATGTGGACCATAACTTGCATAGGCATGTAAAGGTCCAGCCGGGCCACCATAGTAGGGCCCGGGTCCAATAACGCCTGCATAGGCAATGCCCAGCGCAGCGCTCAGCAGAAATATCTGCAAGAAAGATGATCAGATGATTGTCAATACAACTGGCACTCAAATATCACTCATATAGCTTTATGTTAGTTGGAATTTTATGGACTATCACAAGGTTAATAATTGAAGCAGTAATTCCATCGAGTGGATGCACTCTAGTCAAGTTTAGCTATCATTAACGCACTCCCATTAGAACATTCATTTGGCACACCTTCAGCATTGCACTGCTTAGATGTCCTTGCGCGTCTCTCCACTTGTCGATCCTTTTATTAGCCCAAACACCGAACACCACTTGGAATGTGGTCAACCGACTCTTAAGGCTTGGAGCACAACGACGAGCACACTAGAAGAAGAAACAACAACTGCAAACGCTTCGATGGCGTTCTGGCAATTTATAGTAAAACTGGCGGCAAATGTCGCCTGCTTCACATGGCGGAAAAGACCAAGCGAACAATAAACTAATTGAAGATCAACACTGAGAGACCAGTTAAGAGCCCCAGACTGATCATGCCACATGGCGCGCACCAAAAAACAACAGCAACAACAAAAACAACAATAATATCAACAACAAGTTAGTATATATGTATAATACGAAGACTGGGCAGCCACCTGGCTCTGAATCGAATCGTGTGCCTGGGTTCAACTTTGGCGCTGCCATCCGTCTGCAGCCGTCTTAGAAAGGTTATTCTTCCGCCAAACCATTTAAAGGGACCCGGGGAGACCCGTTCGTTGTTTGCCCTTTCACTTTTGTGTGCCATGTTTGTGATTCGTTTGCTATTTTGCCAATTGTGTGAAAATTTATTTTGCTGCACACACAATTGAAATGTTAATTTATTATCGGCTAGGACTTTGGCCAAGCTTAAAGGCGCGTAATTAGTTGCAGCTATGAGAAAAATGCAAGCGGCAAACGCCAAATCCAATGAAATGGCAGCCGGTAGCAACAACAACAACAACAACAACAACAACTGCGACAACAACAACAACAACAGCAGCAGCAGCATCGTCGCGCATGCACAAAAGGTCAGACAGTCGACAATTAAATTACAACAAACCAAATGTCTGACTCCAGCAGCCGCCGAATAAAGCGAAAGGTCAATTTGCCCACCGCTTAAGCAACGGCACATTTGCGCCCTGACACAGCCACGTTCATGCATAACCAGTCCCCAGTTCCCCGGTTCCCCGGTTGCGCGTACCCAATCCTTTAAGCTCCATGCCAGAACGAATAATGTCATTTGTTTCATGTTCACTTAGTACTCTTAATTTATTGCCGCAAATTTGTTGCAGTCCACAGATATCCAAAGGTATTGACAGCTCCAGCCATTGTGGCAGATATAGCAATAAATCGTGCAAGTTGCCGTTATTCAATACAACATTTGCAACTTGAAGATCGAAACAATTGATCAAAACAATGTCCAATTGTAGATTACTTTTCTTAAGCTTAAGATATAAAATCGCATTCATCATCATCGCATAAATCAGAAGTCTATGAGACGACAGATTTAAAATATAGTTCAATTTGTTTCTATACCCTATTGCCATTAAATAGGTACAAATTTGTATGAATAAACTAAATAGTAAAAATTTAATTTAAAAGTATGCCATCGACAGATTAACGTTATAGCAAACAAAAGATACTATGATAATAATTTAAATTGATATTTTTAAAGTAATCGATATTCTGTGCCAAATGTATTTTCAACCCAAAATATTAATTGGAAAGCAGTTCAAATTCATAGATTCCTTCCACAGACTGTCACATTTAATTAAATATTCGAAAGAGTATTTACTATTCGGTAACGCACAAAAAGCTGTCGATCTGAGTTGGCTGGCGGACTGAGTTGTGTTAGGCAGTAACTGTCACCAAGAAATAAGCGCAACTGGTACTTGAGGTTCTTTCCATTTTTCAATTAGCAATTCGATGTTGACTCGGAAATATATTAAAATATGTTTTATGATGGGCTAGGATAAATTGAATAACTGACTGACTGGATTTTCTGTTAATAGGGCGGCGGATACGAAAGCAGTTGACGGTGGGCAGCAGTCCGAGTTATCAAAGTGGGTCAGCTGTTTTCTTTAGTAAAACATGTGTCATTATTAACGCTTTTTTTTTATGGCATTGCTGCGCTGATTTAGTGTTTAAGCGGCAGCCCTCAACACATTTAGTTAGTCCTCAATTGCAATTTGTGAGTAGATGTCCAAGCGTTGGAAACATGGACTTCAGCACTGTGCTTGAAAAATGCGGAGACTTTGGGCGATTCCAGCATGTGATCTTACTCTTATACGGCTATACGAATATACTCAGCTCCCTGCACTACTTTTCACAAACTCTTATAACATTTACTCCAGAGCATTGGTAAGAAGGTAAGAAACAGCGATTTCGCGGATCGTATTCATTATTTAAATATGCCTAGGTGTTACCATGACGACCTGCAGGATTTGAATGTGTCAGAAGTTCGCTCGATATACGCAAATGTGACAAATAAGTCTTGCACATTATTGGAGGGAGTGGTCAATGGAACGGGTGTTGCAGCTGAGACTGGTCAGTGCCGGGATTGGATATTTAAGCGTGAACAAGGCTACGAAAGTGTCACAACTGAGGTAATTGGGTATTCGGATGCGCCGTAAGCAACAACCTCATCGATTTGAATCAATTGCAGCTCAAATGGGTTTGCGACAAATCGCATCACTCGGCCGTCGGTCAGTCGTTCTTCTTCATTGGCTCAGTTGTGGGCACCGTGATATTTGGAAACCTCTCTGATCGCATTGGTCGCCTGCCAGCACTGCTGCTGGCCACAATAGCAGGAGCATCAGGAGATTTTCTCACCTCGTTTATTTACAGCTTTCCGTTATTTGCGTTTTCACGTTTTGTTTCCGGACTCTCCACCGATACCATGTACTATTTGATGTATATTTTAGGTGAGTTTTGCTTCGCTAACGTGGATATATTTTGTGATCTTGTGGATACTAAAAAACAATTATAACTTTCTAGTCTTCGAGTACCTTAGTCCCAAACAACGCACATTTGGTCTCAACATTATACTCGCCTTCTTTTATTGCTTCGGACTGATGACCTCCCCCTGGGTGGCCATTTGGATTGGCAACTGGCGCCACTACCTCTGGCTAGCTTCGTTGCCCGCCCTCGGGGTGCTCGCCTACCCGCTGTTGATCTGTGAGAGCGCCCAGTGGCTGCTCACCAAGAAGAAATACGATCGCGCCGTGAAATGCCTCAAATGGGTGGCTAAGTTCAATGGGCAACAGGTGGAGGACTCTGTTATCGATGAGTTCGTCAAGCACTATAGCGAAAAGATAACCGAGCAGCAGAAACTGAATTCCCATGAGGACACATTCATGGGAATGTTCAGAACACCGCATCTCCGACGCTGCACACTCTCCTTGCTATTCAAATCGTGAGCTAGTGCCAATAATTCGCAATATCTGATTATGGCAATTTTTTATTCCACACAGTATCATTATTACACTCTCCTACGATGTAATAAACCGCAACATGGAAGGCCTTGGAACCTCGCCATTTAAACTATTCTCTTACACTTCAATCAACTATTTACCAGCCGGTTGCACAATTCTCCTGCTGCAAAACAATATCGGCCGGAAGGGCATGGCCTGTGGCGCGTTGATGGTGGGGGGCATTATCACGACAGTTACCGGCTTTCTAATTGCCTTCATGGACCCTAAGGAGAATGCTCTCCTGCTTGCCATTATGATTGGCTTGGGCCGCTATGGCGTCACGGTGTCCTATGATGCTGAGATCCAATATGCCGCCGAGATAATACCAACCAGCGTGAGAGGGCGTGCTCTCTCCAATATACATGTCGTAGGGCTGGCCTCCAACTCGCTGGTGTTCTATGTGATCTACTTGGCCAAGTTCTATAAGCCATTGCCATCCATCTTCATAAGCTGTTTAATGTTCCTTGGCGCTGCCTTATGTCTTACTCTTCCGGAAACCTTGAACCAGTATGTTTATAGCTTGATTTGTCGTTAATTATGGCATAATTCTCTGTTATATAATTTACAACTTTTAGAAAGCTGCCGGAAAATCTCGCAGAAGCGGAAAGTTTTGTTAAGAACCAGCCTAGCCTTTACTTTCCATGGTTTCGCAAACGTGAGAAAAGTTCGGCAATTACAGTTTAAAGCTTTTAATTTTGCATTTAAAATAAGTATCTAAATATGGTGACTAAGAAATCATAATTTCAAATTTGAAATTTGTTTTGCAACGTGCGGTGTAGATACATACTGTGTATGCATTGTGTGCTGAAAGTCGACTTGTAATTTGCATAAATCTTTTAACTGACAAATACCAAGGATAAACTGATAGACTTTAATATTTTTTTAAAATATTAATAGCTTTCCTCAGGATATTATTATATTTTATATCACGTCAAATTATGTTCCAAATCTTAAATTCAACACTGCTTTCTCAATGTTTCTTCCACTAAAATCTACCTCTGCTTCTTTATTACCTTTATTACCGTAATTATTATTATTATCTAATTCAAAACTTTTTGCTTAATTTTTAAATTCTTTTTTGACAGCTCCCACTAACATCAACATCCACTCTAAAAAAGAGACAGAATCGATAAAACGCCTTTGAAGTATAAGAAATAACGATTACAATCTGAAGATTTGTAACGCTGCCATAACTAATATGTATATATTTATATATATATATATATATATACATATATATAAATGTCCAACTTATCTAGGAAAAGAAACTTCATATAGTTGTAAGCTTTTGTGATGAAAGTGCACGCCAAGACGTGGCTTTGGGAAATTCTACTCGAAAGCATGGAAAATTGAGGGAAAACTTCTATGAAACATTTTGGATACTCATTTCAGTAAATTTTATTTGTGATAAACCGACCCTCCTGCGTGATAATGGGGGGATAATGATTATGTTAACTTAGCATATGCATCACAAAACAATATATACTAGCCCATACCTGCTTGCATTTATATATATTTAGAAGGCTACAAATTAAAGAGTATTATTACATCTATTTTTGTACCAAAACGACAAGTCGGAAAGTAAATATTGAGCAATGGCTCCCGCATCTCAGTAAACAATTTCTTATATTTATCTTAGCTAAATTCTCTGCAAATATAATTATCTTTATATTCCACTCTTTAAACTGTGGCAATATTTAAAGATCTACATTGTGTCGTTGACCGACTCGAGTAAATTTTTGTTTAATATATTTTTAATATTAAATTTGTAGTTTATCGGCTTATGCACAAATAACAGTTATTAATTGCATAGTGGGGATGGAAATTATATAAACGAATCTTATCCCAAACACAGTTCATATTTCACCTACACATGCAAAATATAATGAATGTGAAAATTATATAGAACAGCCACAAATATATGAGTCGCATACAATAATTCAGTATAGAAGCACATTTTTATTTATTTATGAATCGCACTTGTTTCAACATGCATATTATTATTTATAATAACACGAATACAATGATAAAATATTTATCGAATATGTCTTAGCAAGTCAATTACTTTAAGCAATACTTTAAAACCCAGAGCCGAAGCAAACAAAACAAAATAAATTTAAAATTCGACCAATAATAAATCAAAATTCTTGTATATATATATATATAAATACTCTATACTCCTCAGTCATTGTAATATTTTAAACTTTTACACCATGCTTTGAATTCTTAAAACTAAAAAAGATGCTAATTTTTTAACTCAAAAAAACTTCTTAAACAACAAATCCAACAAACAGAATATATTAAAAGAATTAAATAAATTTATTCATAAAAAGCTTAAATATATATACATATATATAAACATATACGATTTTAGACCATTGCATTTTGATGCTTTGATTCCATATCGAATTAAATCCTACACAATGTGTGTACACAGCCCATAATGTCCACTAATACTCTCACTGATAATGTTTCAAATCGCTCAATCAGGGTGAATATCACCATTGTTAGTTGACTTTCCAAATTTAATAAACAGCTCAATCCCTTTAAATACTAGCTCCGCCGACATATCTCCGACCAGTACATTTCGTCTGCGGAATTATGTCGGTTTTTTTCCTGGCGAAACGACAAAACTCCGCCGTTCACTATGGCGGGATTATCTATTTTTAAAGTGACATAATTCTGCGCGGAGATATGTCGTTTATAGATCGACGGAGATTTGACGAAATGAAAATGTAAGATATTATACTTTCCCCCAGTTTCCGCCTGAGAAAAATTTAATTTTGCCCGTACTATCTTGCACTCCACTTCTATTGGAAAATATGTTTAAAGTTCATCAATTAAAAGAACCAAAAGTTGGAATCAACGCTTTCCGACCGTAAGTCATGTCGTGAAATCTTAAAGCCGAAAACTAAACTTTCGTTTATTCAACCCTTGAACCGCATTTTTCATCCAAGAGCGGTGGATATCGCGAAAAGCGAATTAAACAAATATTAAAAAAAAACTCTGCAAATAAATTTGAGGCCGATTCGATGGCTTGCGTGCTCCTTCAGCATAAAGTAACTACAGTGAAAATTTCAGTTTCCAAGCTGTTACTATTTTAGCTGTGCATTGCTCACCAGTCAGTCAGTCAGTCATTCAGTCAGTTAGTCAGTCAGGACAAACAGTTTAATATATAGAGATATTGGAGAGAAATGCTGAAAGTCTCAAATCGATTCTTATCGATATTTTAGAAACGGAACGCGATGTCGACAAAAAATCGTTTAGCGTATGGACTTAGCTTGTCGTCCTAATTAACAATATATAATGTTTATGGCATCGGACATGTCTTCTTCTGCCAGTTACATACATTTGCAGAAAAGCAATATACCCTTTTTTACACATTTTCAGTGGATACACGGTATACAAGTCAGTGGGTGGAAAGCATTGAATTGTCGACTCGACACCGAGCGACACGCACGCACAAATACTCACAGCTACGTCCCGCAGGCCAAGAGCGATATAATAACTGTAAGCGAATCGCATCGCATGCAAAAGCATTTCAAGTCGGAAATCGCATCGCGCAAAATCTATATTTATCTTCCAAAATCACGACCTCCCTCCATATACACCCACATATACAAATTGCAGCTGATTTCGGCTGACAGTAGCAATGCACGGGCCCGGGCAGGCGACATTTCAAACTTGACTTCGGTCTTCTACGGTTCACGTTTTACGTACTCTAGTCGAATTATATACGATTATCACAGTCGCAGCTGTTGGTGGCTGGCCCAAGCGCGGGATCAATTCACCCGGGCCTCAGCTGTTTTAGGATCGTTCGGAAAAAGCTGTTTCTTATCGTCAGCTCGTAATTCGCACAAACAGTCAACGCAATCATTTCGTATTCGTAAGCAGATTCGATAAGTCATCGCAGTCATAATTTTAGTGTAACTCAGTTTTGTGATCATTCAATCATTAAAATCGCATACAAGAACTGAAAAATACATTTCGGTAATTAAAGTGTTTATGTGCTCCGAAAATCTGAATTCAAACGAAAATCATAAATAAGTTCTGCTGATAAAATATATTGTAAATTAATGGACAAAAAACCAAAATTATAAATTAATAACAAGAGTGATCCACTCGGGAGTGCCAGACTAGGAGATACCTGGAACATAGCGACGAGCTGCCGTCTAAATTCCTTCTAAACAACATACTCATCACACATACACGCACACACAATGTGCAGTTTACGTGGCTGTGCTGCTTCTTTCATAATCCCAAATTTTCGAGGCATCCAAATGTGTAATAGACAAAGCGCAATATCATAAATTTAAAATTGAGTTTTTTACAATTTTGGAGAAAAATTCTGGTTCTGTGTATACACGATTCTACTTAATTAATTGTTTGTAGCTCTTGAAAGCTCCGAGATAAGGTTAAAAAAAAAATAATTTCAATACTAATTTTGATCTGCGGAACAATAGGCGGACCTACGTTCCTTTCAGGTCTCTAGCTCTTATAATGTCGATCGACGTCGTCTTGAACAAGATTTCTTTTAACAATTTTCATTTTCTGGATTTAACGATAATGAATATTTCTAGTCTCCAGACTAATAACAAATCTGTTCATATAACCGAAATATTAACAAATTGTCCCAAGGCAGCTGTACAAAATAGCGTCAATTGCTATAATATAGTAGCCAAAACCTAAGAAGCACTATTGGAGTATTTGGACTCACATTTTATAAATTTAATTAGGACAAAAGAAAGCAACCGCTAGATCCTAGAGCTATATAAGTAGTTGCTCAGAGACTCAGAGTCGACTTCCAATTATTGCTGTTTGCAAATACGAATTAATGCCAACTTTCAGCAAGACAGCTTTAAAACAGAAGCTTTGCTGCCGACAGGTATAAACAATATGACGAATTGCACACGACTCATTTAATGACATAAATATACTATTATGCAAAAGTAGTCAACCCAATTTTATCCTCTTAGTTCTGTATTTAATTAAATTTGGGTGTAGATTTAATGCAGAAGAGGAGGGATCCAAGAACGCTCCGTTGAGGGACAACAGTCAAAACTTTATAAGGCAACGCTGCCTCGCCCCAACTTTAATCGTATGAACCCTTAGGTAATCAAGTGTTACATGCTTGTTCCCATCTCGATCCCGCATATTCGAACTCATCATTAGACTTATGAACTTACGATCAATCAAATTATTGACTTATATAATTGACTTGTAATGTAATTTGCAACGTAAACGTAGTTAAATTTTATGCCCTAACAATAAAAAGCAAGTACCATATATTTGTGTATGTAACAAGCAGGAGGAGACATCTATGAATCTATAAAATATAAAGTGTATATACGTGACTATCATTAATATGCGAATTTATCGAGCCATCGATCTCTGGCACTAATAGGGCTGGAGATGCCAAATTCGGTGTGCGGCTATTTTCTCGAAACTAACTACATATACTGTAAGCAAATGATTATCTTACATCAGAACCGAGAACGGGGTACTATCGAAAAGAGTTTTCTTACTAAAATTGATAAATTAAGAAGCTTAACAATGATCAGTATTCAGGTATATATTATCACTTCACACTCGTCTCTAGGCAACATCCTTGAATTAAATAGATCGCCAGCAATTAGTTAAAAGTGAGCTCAAACATAATGATCTTGATTTTCTAGATTGTATCTAACAAACATTAGGCACAACCTGACACTTGTTAAATCTGTCAAACCTAAATTATACATTTTTGTTTTTCATGAAGCTGAGAGGTTCCGGGAATTCAAAGCGCTAATTGACTTTAGTAATTAAACGAATTCCGCGCAACGCAAAAAAGTCCATTTAAATGAAATGAGATGCGATGCACGTGCAACAAGTGCAGCGGCACACTAAGGCCATAGGCTAACGAGGGTCAAGTTCGGAAAAGTCCTTACAACTGGACCGTGGTACAGAAACAAAAATAACACAATGCTGGAGGTGGACAAAATGTTGGAAAAATGCGGCGACTTCAGTCGGCTGCAGGTGATTATGCTGCTACTTTTCAGTGTGATCAATTTACTCTCGGCCATGCATTACTATTCGCAAACGATCATAAGTTTTGTGCCCAAGTACTGGTGTGTATAAAGAACACATATGAATAACATGGCGTGTACTCAACTTATATCAATAATACGCCCAGGTGCGCTGATGGCCTGGACTTGGAAACAGCAGCTCCAGATGTATCCAGTTGCCACCCCCTGAACACCAATGCAACAGGCTCTGAGACCTGCCATAGCTACAACTATGGGACATTCATGGGCTATCAGAGTTTCACCAGCGAAATGAACTGGATATGCGGTGAGGCGTGGAAACTAACTTTGGGCCAGTCCATGTTCTTTGTAGGCTCCGTGGTAGGCACTCTTGTGCTGGGCTACCTGGCAGATATAGTCGGTCGGTTGCCCATACTTATATTGGCGAATCTTATTGCTATGGCGGGCAACCTATTGACCATTTTTGGCACGAGTCTGCCACTTTTTTGTATATTTCGACTCATTGCCGGCTTCGCCACTGACAGCAACTTTTTGATGATGTACATTCTGGGTGAGCACAAGAATTATAACCTTAGCTAATATTTTTTATAATCAACAATTATTTCGCAGTTATGGAATATATGCGTCCCTCATTGCGCACCATTGGCCTGAGTGTCTGCATCGGCGTCTTTTACTGTTTGGGCTCAATGGGCGCGCCCTGGGTGGCGGTGCTCATGGGTAGCTGGCGTGGTTTCCTGCTCGTTACCTCGCTGCCGTTCGCATTGGTGCCGCTGTTCTATTTCATTGTGCCGGAGAGCGTGCAGTGGCTGATATCAAAGCAGAAATACGACAAGGCCATGACCTGTCTGAAGCGTGTGGCCAAGATCAATGGACGCCAACTTGATGATAGCGTCTATGCGCAATTCATTGCGGACTGCAAATTGAGTCAGCAAAATACGAAGACTACGCCGAATCTACTGGACCTCTTCAAGACGACCCGCCTACGCCGTAACACTTTCATACTGTTCTTCAAATCGTGAGTAGACAGCTGGCCCAGCCAACAATCTGTTTCTATGCCCTCATCCGCTCGCCCACACAGCATGGTCATTACCCTCTGCTACGATGCCGTCTCACGAAATGTGCAAGGCCTTGGCATTTCGCCATTTGTCATGTTCTCACTGAGCGCAACCACGATTCTGCCTGCTTGCCTGATACTCATTGCGTTGCAAGATCGCATCGGGCGCAAGGCAATGGCTTCCTCATCGCTCCTCCTCAGTGGCGTTTTCATATCGGTAACGGGCATCGTTCTCTATACCGCCAGTAATCACAGTAAGTCAAAGCTATTTCATCATTTACTTCTTTATTTATATATATGCAAATTTTGTTAAAAAAAAGTATTTAATTTATTGTAATTGTATTTAACTTGTTTTTATCTGTTCTGGGATAAGCTCAAGTTACATACAAAATCTTATTTGAAACGTATATCTCGAGTTTTGGAAAATTCACAAAATTGGTAAATTCTCGGAAATTCGATTGTTTACTTTGTTGTTATACCCTGAACCCACTAAAAATGTATGTAGCAGGCAGAAGGAAACATCTCCATAGCCATGCCCATCTGTCTATCATTGTGAACGCATCGATCTCGGAAAATACAAAGGCTACAGAGTTTAAAATTAAAAATTATATATTCTTCAACACTATACGCAGAACGTTTACCATTATTTTGTCTATATCTCGAGCCATTTCTATTATATGGATAAAAATTGATGGTCACATTTTGTGTTTTACCCATATGTAGCCTCTCGTATAGTATACACCGATCAGGAATATTTCACTTTTTAGATACCTCTGCCCGTTTTCCACAAAATTTGTAAAAAGCTATTGTTCAAAGATGATTGTTCTAGAAATATATTGACAATTTTTTTTTCAACTTGCACTTGTGAATTTGTGTTAGAAATTCGAATAATACATTTAATGAGGTTATTACTTAAGATAATTTCTAGACAATATTTAAAATAAGAGCACTTTATTCAGATATAAAAAAGTCAAAAATACAATGAACATATCAGGTTTCGGCTATACTGTAATGAGTTCTGAGCTTACAGTTTCTTGAAAACTGTGTCAATTGTGTTTTTATTAATTTAAAACATCTTTCCGTATACTCCCCCACAGACACTACATTAGTGGTAACGCTTTCCGTGATTGGGCGCTTTGGTGTCACCGTGGCCTACAACTCGGCCGCCCAGTATGCCACGGAGCTGATACCGACATGTGTGCGTGGCCAGGGCGTGGCTGCTGTGCATGTCATGGGCTATGCGTTCACATTCTTCAGTGCATACATTTTGTACACGCGGACAGTCTTCTCGCCGCTGCCGGAGATCATACTGGGCGTGCTCTCATTGCTGGGCGCCTGCTTGTGCCTGCTGCTGCCGGAGACGCTGCATCGCACGCTGCCCACCTCACTGGAGGAAGGCGAGAAGTTCGGCATTAACGAGCACTGGTACACATTTAGCTGCATGGAGAAACGCTCGCAGTCGGTAATGAAACTCGCTCCGGCACGTGGCAAGTCGCTTTCCGCTTCCACAGATTCCTCCGTTTATTTTTAGGGCAGGTCATATCAACTCTTTTTTATAGAAAATGTTAGCATACTTTTAAGCTCCAACTTAAAGTTGTAAACTAATTAGTTCAAGTAATGAATTACAATCGAAAATAGAATTAGCTTTAGATTAATTAATTATGGTTTGACAACCATTATTGGGCGAACATTAGTGTCAGCCAAAATTTTAATTTGAAGTTTAAATAATTATTTTAAGTCTAAAAATAAATATATATTTTAATAATCAGTTCATGATTGCCCAAAAAATATATGTCAAACCTTTTACCTTAACAAAATGACATTTATCAATTGAAGACCGAGCTGATAAAGATGACTACAAAGTTTAGAAAATTATGTAATATAGTATTAAAGCGTATTAAAAACTACTCTAATAGGGTAATAACTTCTATGGTCATAAGATGAAAGTCTTTTTGATTAATTGGTTGGCATGCCTTAAGAAAATAATTATACTTTTTAGCTTATTGGCCCTCAGTAGTAGAGCTGCTTAATTTTGTGGCCTAGCCCAAGCCTTGTGAAGAATAGATTTTCTGTGCTTCCGTTCATATGGAGGGATGGAGGGACAGCGAGACGAACATTGCACAAAACCAATATACTCGTTATCATCTTGGGAACAGAGTTTAGAAATTAAATATTGTAATTTATGCCAAAAATCGAACAAATTTCGCCGCCTTTGATAACCTGAACAGATCAATCGCTTCTGAAGTGAACAGACGTGTTTTTTTATGCGTTGCGCATTGCTCCTCATTTTCTTTAGAACTTATATTTATAAGAAACATCATCATTTATCCGTTTGCCTTCTCGGGGAGAGTTGTCGCGAGAGTATCGCGAATGCATGTCTTGTGTATTAAACAATTTAACTTCTGAATTTGTGCATTTCTGATTATTGTTTTTGTGCATAGCATAGTTGAGTTCTCTGCCGGTAAGCCGTTCTTAAATACATGTTTTTGCTTACCGAACCGCTTTCGCGACTTCTTTTCAACCCGGTTTATCTTCTTTCTGCGTGTAGCCGCTTTTTGGTGTTGTTGATCAAACTCTAACTAATTACTAAATTCTATATATTTTACGCTTTGCTTGCGTTGTTCTAATTACACTATGCAACAGCATATGACCGCGTTTGATGAAACAAATATTTTTAAATTGAATTCTGTTCCAAAGTGTTTGCCAAAAGCATGTCCCATGTCCATAGTAGAATGTTGTGCATTCAAATTGGTTTGCATTACGGTTGCGACTCTTTTAGGGCGCTTAATGGTGAGATGCCGGCGTTTATGGGACAGACTAGAATTGTCTTAACTGATCTAATCAATTTTTTCCGAAAACTTGATGATCAGCTCACATCCCTCAAATCACTGACCCAAAACTGTTGGATGAATCTCGCAGTGTCTTTCGGCAGCCGGTTACAAGTTTAACGCTCCCTCCTATCTTCGGGCTTGACTTCCACATTTAATTCATGTAGACAATATTGATTCTGTACAGTAGGCTCCATATGAAAAATGTCCCTATTTAAATAATCGTAAAATTATACTTGGTGTAATATATATATATTTACTGGCTTCGCTTCTCTGTCCCAACTAGACTATCGGGAGGTGAAATAACTAAAAGGGTATATTGGTTTTATGCAAGTTTATCTAACAGATAGAAGAAAACTTTTAACATATTAAGTAAATATGTCAATAAGAACGATCTGACAGTATTCTACGAAATCGATAACACCGTCTAGTTTAAAAAAACAAACGTATTTTTAAATGTCCTCGTCCTCCTTTGCGATTCTCATGGCAATCCAATGTACTTTATCTATGCTCTTAATCCTTTTTTTTTAACTATCGTGCACTCTATTTCAACGTCTCTCCCACATTTAATTCCTCGTTCCTTTCCAGTTCTTAGTCTAACCCGCTATCTATACCTTTTCTTCTTTTAGTGATGTGTATGTAAAAGTCTGCCTCCCCTGTCCTGTGTGATTTTTTGGGTAAGTAAATATTTTCATATATATCTACTTATGAATAAGAAAGAAATGAAAGGGATATCTCCCACGAGAATATAAAGCATACATAGCAAGTACACAACTAGGGGCTACCTAAAATAAAAAAAAAAAAAATGAAAATCTTACACCCAATCTTCAGAAATGAACCATTAGAAATTAGATTATTAAAAAAATGGCCCTTTATCAGATTTTCATTTCTACATCATTTTCTTTGTGACTTTTATCATAAGGCATGAAGGTCATAAAAAACATTCTTTTATCATATCAGAATATGGCCGTTTTAAAAATATATAAAGATAATAAGTAAAAATGGTCTAGTCAAAAGTGATTGACTAGGAAGTACCCTTTAGAACTTATCATAAACTTATCAATACGTAATAATTTTTTAAGCTAAATGTATTTTGCAAAATTATAAACGTTAAACCAATTTAAATTGCATCTTATCTTGAATAGCTATGTAAATTTTTGAATAAGTGAGCTTGTGCCCGAATTTTCTTATTACATATTACCTTTTTAGACCCAGTTTGTGAGTTCAGGGTATTAGAATGCATCTTGACAGAAACGTGTTCACCTTTACTTCTTATCAATATATACATATTATATATGAGTGATAATAATAAAAAGAATCCCAACCTGCGGCACGGAAACCCATTCCAGACTTTATTCAGTGGCAACGGCTTGTCGGGTTGCTGTTTGCATAGACTCTACTGTGAATGCTATAAAATATTGCAGGCTATAGATGCTCGTGTAGCTAGCTTTACGTATGATGTATGTATGTATGTACGTGCGCTAACTTATATGTACACTTTTAGGAATACCTGCAGCAATTTTTTGGCAAACGCTCGACAGGCAACGAGCAATGTAGACGTTGTCGATCGCGAGAGCTACCTAGAATTCTGTTGCAATGGACTTCGAGAGTGTGCTAGACAAATGTGGCAGCTTTGGACGCTATCAGTTCGTCTTGCTGGCTCTCTATGGCTATACGAATATACTTTCGTCATTTCATTATTTCTCGCAGACCATCATCAGCTTCACGCCGCCACATAGGTAAAATCTAATATTTATTTTCAATTCTGTAAATGAAATTAAATAATTTTTGTATTTTACAGGTGCGTGCCCGCAGATACACCCGATGTTTACGCATTCGTAAATATCACATCCTCTGAACGATGCAGATACATTGAATGGAATCCTGAGCTGTTAAGAAACCAGGAAACCAAGTGCCAGTCTTGGCAATTTGAGCGCGAAAGCAATTATGAGAGCATTACAACAGAGGTATGTCAGCCCTAGAAGTAGGCTACACTTTTTGGAGTTTCACCAATTACACTCGCATCCCGATCTATTGTGCACAGCTGAAATGGGTCTGCGATGATGCCTACAAATTGGCCGTGGGTCAATCGTTCTTCTTCGTTGGCTCCGTACTGGGCACCATATTCTTTGGCTATCTGGCGGATCGCATTGGCCGACTAAAGGCATGTATGCTGACTACTTTGACGGGTGCCTTCGGAGATTTTATCACATCTTTCGTGCACTCGCTGCCATTCTTCTCGGCTGGCCGTTTTATAGCGGGCCTATCCACGGATACCCAGTACATCCTAATGTACATATTGGGTGGGTCTGACCCCTACAGTTAATTCCTTAGAGAGGTCAATTTCAACACTTTTTTATTATAATTGCAGTATTTGAGTATCTCAATCCCAAACGTCGTACTCTGGGACTCAATATCGTTCTGGCTGTATTCTATTGCGTGGGGCTGATGGTCTCCCCTTGGCTGGCCATTTGGGTGGGCACTTGGCGCCACTATCTGTGGGCTGCCTCATTGCCGGCATTGGGCGTGCTCTGCTATCCGTGCTTGCTCTTCGAGAGCGCCGAGTGGTTGTTGACCAAGCGCCAATTCGATAAGGCAGCGGAGTGTCTGCGCCGCATCGCCAAGTTCAATGGACGTCAGGTGGATGAATATGTGTTTGATGAGTTTATTAAGTTCTATCATGAAAAACTGAACGAGGAGCAGAAAAGCACAACCGATACTTTCATGGGCATGCTGAGGACGCCACGATTGCGCAAATTTACCATCATACTGTTCATTAAGTCGTAAGTTTAGCGAGATCAGAAGTGCTTCCAAAAAAGACTACAACCATTTATCTTCAGCATGATCATCACGGTGGCCTTTGACATACTCAGCCGCAACATGGAGGGCATGGGCACCTCGCCGTTTAAGCTCTTCTCATACACGGGCATCACGTACCTGCCTGCCGGGCTGACCATCATACTGTTCCAGAACTACATCGGTCGCAAGGGCATGGCCTGCGCCTCCTTATTTGTGGGCGCTGTCATTACGGCCTTGACGGGCTATTTGATAGCCAGCCTGAACCCAGCAGAACATTCAATTGTCTTGGCCTTCATGGTGGGCTTGGGCAGATATGGCGGCGTTGTAGCTTACGACGCGGAGGCTCAGTATGCCGCCGAAATTATACCCACTAGTGTGCGCGGTCGAGGCATGTCCAATATACACGTTGTGGGCTATGCATTTGGTTTCTTTAGCTCATATATCATTTTTCTGGGCACTTTTTATAAACCTCTGCCGTCACTTTTTATCAGCTTGCTAATGTTTATTGGCTCCGCCTTGTGTCTGACGCTGCCGGAAACGGTGAAAAAGTAAGTTTTTAATCTGAGTATTATATTCAAATATTTACACAATTCTTTTTAGGAAGCTGCCCCAAACATTGGCGGATGGTGAGACCTTTGGCATAGGCGAAAAATGGTATTACTTTCCCTGCTTCAGTCAAAAGAGGAAGCTGGCCGAGCAGACGATGACTGTTGCGTCTATAGAAAATACTCATAAGACAATTGTAGCCAAACAGTTCTGAAATAAAGTTTATAATTTATGGTATTTATGGTGTTTACTTGGCAACTGCATTTCGTCTCGAACTTTCATTAAGATGGAATCTCCGTGCGTTACGGCGACGTGCTCCTGTTAAGTAGTACTACTTTGGATGGGATTATCCTGTTATTTCAATTAAATTTTATGGCTTAATTGCCCCTATTAAAGTAGTATAAAACAATAAATGCATAAATCTTATATAATCTAAGGGGAAACGTCAGCGTTTACCTGTTGCTTGAGATCAGCAGCATGATTTATACTTATCACGTCAATTATTGCGGATCTGGTACTTTCATGCTAGCCAAATGTTTGACAGGAAGGGGCGTGGGCTTGAGCCAGCGTGTTGGTAGTATATCGCAGTGTCAATAGAATTGTATTCTATACTATATACCTGCACGTATAAGCCGAGCTATAAAGTTGTCAGGCGCCGAATTAAGTCAGCGGTAATTCCTTTGATATGTTTACTGTACAGGCGTGACTTACAGCATCCGACGCAACTAACTGTGGTATAAATCTTAGACTAAGCTTTTTTTGCGACTGCCAGAAATGCTAAGTCCCTTGCCCGCTTGGTCGGCCGAGTTAAATGTCTGATAAGAGAAATGGCGAAATATTCGCTTCTCGAAAAAGCCCCTCAAAACATTTTTTAGGCACCGCATCAACAACGCCATGGCAACAATTACTGGGTCAGTCAGTATTTGACAGTTACAACGCTTCGACTGGTAGGATTACATTAGATCCCAGACTTAGAGGCATTATATTATGTAAAGTAGACAATTAAAAAGAGGACAACGTCTGACTCTTTGGCACTCGCTTTGTCTAAACGTACGAGTACTGTGTTTGTGCAAGTCTCAAAGTATTATAATACAACAAAGATAGCTGAAGTCAATCTTTGGCACTAATTTCGCACCCTAATCTCAGCAGACGCCTACCGGCAGCTATTCTATATAAGGCAGCCACTCGAGATCCGGACATCAAAATACTGCGCGCTTAGCCAGCTGCAACAAGATTTCGTCTTCTGTTGGGCACTGAGCATGTTGTTAACGAGGAGCTCTCAAGTCTTCGATCTGCCCTCCTCTCTAGCTGTTGTATAAAGTGTGTTTTATTTGTAAAAGTAGATGAGGTAAATCTAGCTTACGGATTGCTGCTAGGTGAAATATTAAATATGGATTTCGATCGTGTGCTCGAAAAGTGCGGCAGCTTCGGGCGCTTCCAGTTTGTTATCCTAATATTATACGGCTATACGAATATACTTAGCTCGTTGCATTATTTTTCTCAAACCCTAATTACGTTTACCCCGGAACATTGGTTAGTACAATACTTAAAATAAATATATTATAAATGTTTTGCTAACTCCAAACTGTTTACTTGATCGGTACAGGTGCTCCCATGATGACCTTCATGGTCTCAGTGCAGACTCGATACGCTCAATTTATTCGAATATAACCCAACCCTCGTGCACTTTACTCGACGGCGTGATCAATGGAACGGGCATTGCGGCCGAGGAGGAAACTTGCCAGGATTGGATTTTCGAACGAGAAAGCGGCTACGAAAGCCTTACAACTGAACTGAAGTGGGTCTGCGACAAGTCGCATCAGCCGGCCGTGGGCCAATCCTTCTTCTTTGTGGGCTCTGTGGTAGGCACTATTACATTTGGATATCTTTCCGATCGCATTGGCCGGCTGCCTACCATGTTAATGGCCACTTTAGCTGGCGCTTCTGGGGATTTTATGACCTCGTTTGTGCACACCCTACCTTGGTTTGCATTCTCGAGGTTTGTGTCGGGTCTCTCCACCGATACCATGTACTATTTGATGTATATTTTGGGTGAGTTTTGCTTCGCTAACGTGGATATATTTTGTGATCTTGTGGATACTAAAAAACAGTTTCAACTGTCTAGTGTTCGAGTACCTCAGTCCCAAACGCCGCACCTTTGGTCTCAACATTATACTCGCCTTCTTTTATTGCTTCGGACTGATGACTTCCCCCTGGGTGGCCATTTGGATTGGCAACTGGCGCCACTACCTCTGGCTAGCTTCGTTGCCCGCCCTCGGGGTGCTCGCCTACCCGCTGTTGATCTGTGAGAGCGCCCAGTGGCTGCTCACCAAAAAGAAATACGATCGCGCCGTGAAATGCCTCAAATGGGTGGCTAAGTTCAATGGGCGGCAGGTGGAGGACTCTGTGTTCGACGAGTTTGTCAAGCACTATCGCGAGAAGATGAACGAGGAGCGGAAACTGAATTCCCATGAGGACACGTTTATGGGAATGTTCAGAACTCCACGTCTGCGACGCTTCACCCTGACCTTGCTGCTTAAATCGTAAGCGATTGCATTGCCCATAATTGTCAATTATCAAATATGATATTTATGCCCACAGGGTCATAATCACTCTCTCATACGATGTGATCAACCGGAACATGGAGGGCCTTGGCACCTCCCCCTTTAAACTATTCTCGTTCACATCCATCAACTATTTGCCTGCTGGCTGCACGATTCTGCTGCTTCAAAACATCATCGGCCGAAAGGGAATGGCTTGCGGTGCGCTTCTGGTGGGGGGCATTATCACCACAGTTACCGGCTTTCTAATTGCCTTCATGGACCCTAAGGAGAATGCTCTTCTGCTGGCGATCATGATCGGACTGGGCCGCTACGGATCCACGGTCGCCTACGATGCTGAGATCCAATATGCCGCCGAGATAATACCAACCAGTGTGCGAGGGCGTGCCGTCTCCAATATACATGTCATAGGGCTGGCCTCCAGTTCGCTGGCCTTCTATGTCATATACTTGGCCAAGTTTTATAAGCCACTGCCCTCAATTTTCATAAGTTGCCTTATGTTCTTTGGCGCTGGACTATGTTTGACGCTTCCAGAAACCTTACACAAGTAACTCACTCACACTGATAATCCAAGCAAAATATCTTATATTTTGTATATTTATATTTATCTAGAAAACTACCTGAAAACCTGGCCGACGGGGAACGCTTTGCTATGAACGAGGGCTGCTGGTACTTCCCGTGCTTTAATAAACGTCGCGAAAGTTTGGCCCCCAATGGCGATAATAAGTCTGATGCATAGAACTTTTGTTTAGCTGATGCTGAACTGAAAAGTAAACCGATAAACCTGAAACTGATTAAGCAACTAATTAACCTGATGATGAGCTTAACGTGAAGTTAGTTCCTGTAACTGAATGGTCTGATAAGTATTACTCATGTAGAGAATGCATAGTAATCGGGATTTAGCCGTTAAATTTTACTATACGTACTCGTATTCCACTTAAGCTATGCTGTTTGTAACTAAACTGAACTGAACAAATTAAATATATATACTACATTTCCTTAAAATATAACAATATTTACTGCTAAGCTAAACACTTACTACTTATACCCTGTATACCTACCGGCGCGTTTCTACAATATCTATCGAAATCGATAACACCTCACGTTTTCTGAGCAAATATCGATAAAAAGTTCTTCATGGCCGCACAAATCGAGTTCATTGAAAGTCATCGAAATTTTACTCCCTTTCTACCAAATCGATAATCGATATTAAAGTTTAAGTTGAAGAATGCATCATAAAGAGTTCAGCTTAAGACGTGCTTGTGTCTTGAGAAGTTAGCTAAGCACGGCACGGAATATAAAATACCTACCGAAGAGAGGCATTCGCTTTTCTGTGGGTTGACTTAAATGTAGTAAAGTATATATATGAAGTATGCTTAATGTATATATTTAGATTTGAAAATAAAGAGACGCCAAACATTCTTGTATTTTCTTCGTGTATATTTGTATGAATCTATGTATATGCATAGTTATGCTTGAATGTGCTGATTAGAAAAATGTACAACAATAATTTTGGGCCGCATTTTCGATATTGCATTGCCTCCCCTGGGAAGCATTAATCTACAAAATGAAAAAAAATATTTTAATTGAGAGGGCTGGACCAGTTTCCGTATTATTATACAGTTCAACCTAGATTGTCCGGAACTCCATTAACCGGAAACAACTATTGACTGCGATGCGGAGTAGTGGATTTTATGCCTCCATTAACCCTGATTTAATAGATACTTTAAAATCAACCGCAGACAGAGCATCTCCAACGCTTAAAGCTTAAAATAATATACAATAATATTCAAGTCATTCTCTTAAAATTAAATCAGAGACATGCATATAATGTTTAAGAATGCTGATAAAGAAAATTGACATATGTAACATGTTTAAAGCAATTAAAAACAAATAAGTAAGAGCTCTAGTTTAGGGTGTTCCCGACTAGGGGATACCCTGAAACCTCTTCTAAGAACACCAAATGCAGCTCGCGCTGGTGCTCGTTTGCTTTATTAGTAATAAAAAAAATTTTAAAACATTGCGTTCAAACATACGGACGGACGGACAGACGGACATGGCTAGATCGACTCGGCTATTGATGCTGATCAAGAATATATATATTTTATGTAACATACATTTGCACAAATACATTATACCCTTTTTAACCATTTTCAATGGGTTCAGGGTATAAAAATGCTTTTCAAAATTGACCGACTGGAATATACGCTGTACCCAGCTTTGACCTGCCTTAAGGAATATCCTTTCTTGGTCACACTTATACACAAAGACACCAATGCTGCAATCTGCATTAATACAGTAGCGCCACGCTTCTTCTCCTATTTATTTTTAGCTCCAATTCGTTTTTTAGTTTTTTAAATAACTTTTGTGCTTCTTGTCCAACCATTCCTTTTTTTGTAGAGGGTATACCACGATAACGAGCCTTTACGAATTCCAAGCTCAGTTCCATTTAATCAAGCTGAGTGGGTAGAAGGAGTTTTCGAACGGCGTATTAAACCAAAGTGAAATGTCAGCGAAATATTTCTAAAATGTCTCATTTGCTGATTTTTTTATTATTTTTACCATTTATTTTCGCAAATCTGATAAATACATCAAGTAACTATGTCGCGCGTTCCGAAAACAGTTACCTAAAGCAGATGCCTCGTGATAATAATAGTCAACGCAAATATATTTATAATGATCTAAAAACTATTGCAAAACCGAGATGGAAAAGAAGAACAACAAATGAAAAAAATTTAACAAGTAAGTGACTTATCCGACTAGGATAATAAACCCTCTTCTACCTACCTTCTATATATCTTTATATTCTCAAGTAGACAAAAGACACATTAAAACTGTTCTTAAAATTAGTGGGTACTTCCAATTGATTTATTTATTTGATTAGTATATATTGGAAGAAAGCAGGGAGTTGGCGGGCTGGCGATATCTATAAAATGAAGGATACCCTAGCTCGTTCTGAGATTGACGCGTTCATACATACGGACAAACGTGGCTAGATTCACTCGGCTATTGATACTGATTATAAATATGTAAACAGTTTATAGGAGATGCTTTTTTCTGTCAGTAACATATAATTGCACATTTAAGTCATTTTCAATGGATTTAGTATATAAAAATTAAATCTATTTATCTCACACAGCTTTAAAATACATGAAACTGGAAGAATACAACAAAAAACAATTGGTATATTTGATAGAAATGCTAAAACATAAAATTAAAACAATGAAAAACGTTAAAAAACATTATCGAATCTGTCAAGATAATACAACACAACTCAGCACACAAAAAGCAGCGTTACAAAGGAGTTTAACTGCATGTGATGTCAAAGTTTCCGATCTAAATTTAAATATTAGTTCATTGCAATCTACACTTGACGGAAGAAACAGAAAGATTCGCAGCTTGGAAGATAATTTGACAAATTTACAACATAGCAACAATGAGCTAAAAGAAAATCTTACATTATGTATGATTGAAACTAAAAAGAATACACAACTTAAAGAAGAACAGGAAGTCACAACACAACTCAACATACAAAAAGCGGCGTTACAAAGAAGTTTAACTGCATGTGATGTCAAAGTTTCCGATCTAAATTTAAATATTAGTTCATTGCAATCTACACTTGACGGAAAAAATAGAATGATTCGCAGCTTGGAAGAATTTCAACAGAGTATGAAGACTCAACTGCAAAGCTCTCAAAATAAAATCCGAGTCGCGGAGTCAACTTTAAGCAGCTGTCAATCTTCTTTAAATCTTAGAGATAATCAAGCCGCGGATTGCGACAGGGAAAGAGTATGTCAACATAATTTGACAAATTTACAACATAGCAACAATGAGCTAAAAGAAAATCCTACATTATGTATGATTGAAACTAAAAAGAATACAAAACTTAAAGAAGAACAGGAAGACACAACACAACTCAAAATACAAAAAGCGGCGTTACAAAGAAGTTTAACTGCATGTGATGTCAAAGTTTCCGATCTAAATTTAAATATTAGTTTATTGCAATCTACACTTGACGGAAAAAACAGAAAGATTCGCAGCTTGGAAGATTTCCAGCAGAGTTTGAAGACTCAACTGCAAAGCTCTCAAGATAGATTCAGAGTCGCGGAGTCAACTTTAAGCAGCTGTCAATTTTCTTTAAGTCACAGAGATATTCAAGTCGCAGATTGCAATTCTAACACAAAGAGCAATAATGAAAAGATTCTCGACATGGAAAGAGTATTGCAACATAATTTGACAAATTTGCAACATAGCAACAATGAGCTAAAAGAAAATCTGACTTCATGTATGATTGAAATTGAAAAGAATACAAAACTTAAAGAAGAAAAAGAAGTCAATTGGGGAAGTGCTAAGCCAAGATTAAAAGAAAAATACGACAATTGTCCACCCTTTGGCAACGTAACAGGTGCTATGTTAATATCCGTGCCCAACCAGCAGCCTTTCAAGGTGCCCTGCACCGAAGCCAGTGATAAATATGTCTGGTCAATTATTGAGCGTCGGTTGGACCAACAGCTAAGCTTTAACCGTGGCTGGCAGGAATACCGCGATGGGTTTGGAAACTTTGATCGCGAATTCTTTATAGGACTGGAAAAACTGCATCTGATGACATCGTCAGAACCTCACAAGCTGTTGATACGTTTAACTGGTGGAGCTGAAACTAAAAACGCCATTTACAGCAACTTTAAAATTGGCAGCGAGAATGAGGGCTATCCAATAACATCACTTGGCACATATTCGGGAGACGCTGGCGATGGATTGCGGGAAAGTCTAAATCAAAAGTTTAGCACCTTCGATCGCGATAATGATCAAGTTGACGATGTTAACTGCGCTAAGGATGTGAAAGGAGGCTGGTGGCTTACGGATTGTGGCAAGTCGTAAGTGCATGTTATTCGAATAAAATGCAAATGATTTATCTCTCATTTAATATACCTTTAGAAATCTGAACTTTAATGTTTTTCGAAAAGTGTTCTGGAACGATATGCTGGGTGGTCCAGTTTCTGTAGAAATCCTGATACGGCCATCAGATATTGATTACAATTAATGTGCACTACATTAACTACTACATACAAATAAAAAAAACAAGTTCAATTAAATTTTTATACATATGATAATTGTATTATTTTTAAATTTTTTCTATATTTGTAAGTATCAGCAGTTTTGCATTTGCAATTGCAACAAATCAAAATCAACTTTTTCTAAATAGTAATACACTTAGAAAAACTATTACATACAAATGTACATAAGTATTTAATTTATTCAGTTAAGTGAAATTGTGCCGCTTAAATGTTAACTATACGATTCCGATTCCAGTTTTGATATTTTACACACATTTGGAAAATATTTTCAAAGGCTAGTTATTGAATTAAGTTATGAGTTACATATATTGTATATATATATATATTTATATTGTATATTGTTACTTAAAGGTCTACATAGGTATACAAGCCTAAGATATTACATATATGTTCATATAATTCATAATATATATGCATAGAGTGTAAGCGTGCACGCATAGAAAGAATATGTATCGAAAAAGATGTCCAGATGCTGAGCACACATATCGTAACTTTACGTTTAATTTTTGAATTGTTGCTTGAGGTATTTAAACAGCTTTTCCTTCCTATTTTCTTTATTATTTATAATTTAAAGGGATAACAGCTGCTGCTGGATTCGTTGAAGAAGCTATAATTTGATTCCAGATTTAATGTCATAGAGCTGTTTACTTGGGGCTATTGTTTTAGTTGTTTGCTGGTTTGATAAGTTTTAGTACTTTTAATGTGCTTACTAAGGGGCCTATACAAAATTGTTTAACTAAACTACGAACTAGTCATTAGCATTACAGATTGGCTCAATGCTTGGCATCCTTGAGGCTCTGCTCCTCGCGATCGGCATCGATCAGAGACTGCTTGCGCTTGGTATACTGACCGGACTCCATTTGCTGCTTGGCATCAATGAGCGAATGCTTGCGTTTGTACTTCTCCAACTCAGAGTCCGAGTCGTCGTCGCCGTGATGCTGCAGGCAGGGGAAGTCGAACATACGTTCGCCCTTACCAAAGACCTCACCCTCCTCGATTGTGGTAGGTAGACTCCTGTCGGGCCAACAATAATCAAAGTTGAACAGGTTGTTAGCTATACACAAAATTCGCACACTTACCGGTTCAGCGTCTCTGGCAGAAGCAGGCATACAAAGGAGCCAGCAAAGAAAAGCACGCCCAATATAATGGAGGGTGCTGCCTTGAAGAAGGTGCCCAGCCAAAGGATATAGGGCGCCAGGAAGGAGGCCGCGAAGCCGGCCACATGTACCGCAGCCACGCCCTGGCCGCGCACACACGTGGGTATCAGTTCTGTGGCATACTGCGAGCCCGATTCGTACGAAATGGCCACGCCGAAGCGCGCTGCAATCGTCAGGCAGGCCAACAAAATGGCATTGTGATTATGCTGCTGATAGGCAATGGCAATGCCAGCGGCAGCCGTGAACAAACCGCCAACTAGCAGCGAGCCCGATGCCATGCCCTTGCGTCCAATGCGATCCTGGAGGAGCACCAGTAAAATACTTGAGGGGAGGACAGCCAGGGCGCTCAGCGAGAACATTATGAACGGCGAGATGCCCATTCCTTCCACATTACGCGACACGGCATCGTAGCACAGTGTAATCACCATTCTGCAATACGCTGCGTATAAGCAATGTGTCGGCTTGTTAGGATCGTTAAGACTTACGACTTGAAGAAGAGAATCAGCGTGTTCTTGCGCATGCGTGGCGTCCTGAACATGTCCAACAGCGTCGCATGCTTCTTGTCATCGCCGCCTTGCATCTCGCGGGTTATTTGACAATGGCGCCTGAACTCATCGAAGTCCGCCTGCGTCACGTGGCAGCCATTGAATCTGGCTACGCGCTTGAGCCGGATGATGGCCCCATCGATATCATTGCGCGTCACCAGCCATTGTGCGCTCTCCTGCACCACAAAATAATAGAGCACCACCAGCAATATGGGCAGTGATGTGCAGGCCAAGTAGATCTGCCAGTGCCCGGCCAAGACTGCCAGCCAGGGCGTAAACACCAGGCCCAGGCAATAGAACAGACCCACAGCCATATTGAGGCCCAATGTGCGCATGCTGGGGCGTATGTATTCGAGAACTATGGAAACAAACGTTAGGCATAACTTGATGTAGGCAATATACGGGATGTATTTACCTATAATATACATGAGATAAAAGTTTGTATCGGCCGCCAGGCCCGATATGAAACGGCAGAGCGTAAATGTTGCCACGCTCTTAGTAAAGATGGTTGAAAAATCGCCAGCAAAGCCACAGAAGTTCGACAATATCAAGGCTGGCACACGTCCAATTTTATCAGACAGCAGGCCGTAGAATAGTGTACCCACAACGGATCCAATAAAGAAAAGCGATTGCCCGATGCGCGCCTTATACGCCGAGTCACAGACCCAGTTCAGCTGTTGATTGATTGGCAACAAAATAACAAAAAGAAAAGGTTAAATTTGTAAAAGGTTTAAAATATAAGAGAATATTGAATACCCTTACAGACAATAACGATAACTTTCACATCTCAATATAACCACCGACCGGCATAATGAAAATTTGAATTCTACATACTGAAGTTAGTCGGAAAATCAATAGAATTAATCAAATCAATCGTCAAGACTTCTCGACTGTACCCTGTACTCATCTCTAAAATAATCCAGAATTATATTTATAGAATATACTAATGATTGGTTGTCAAAAATGTACACGTGGCACAAACAAATATATTACCTCAACAAATAAGGTTCAAATTCATTCTCATTCGACTAGGGTGAAACAATTTCAATTTTGGAATTAACTAAACTTTATAATTTTGTAAAATATCAAATCAAATCAATTTGATTTAGACAGTCGATATGGTTTTATCCACTTAAATGTTGTATATATCGGCCACTGATCGATCCGCAAAGTTATGAAGATCAAGAATTTACGCAGATACTTAAAGGAAGAGAAAGATATTTTGAGTAGTGGAGTTCCGGTTTCTTTGTTGGCTGTGAGAATCGCCGGATAAATTATGAAGTATTATTTTTAAATTCTATAGTTTTCTAGATTTTTTATAATTTTAACATAAATATAACTTGCAGTGCTTTATAATAAACGAAAGGTGAGTTCCTGACTGCTGAATGTAAAAATTAAGAAATCTATGTAATTTAAATAAGTACATGGTGTATTCAGTAAGCAATAAGCTATTTAATATGTTTATGATAACTAAGTTAACCAACTAATGAAATTTTTAATTTTAATTTTGATTTTAAAATAGATTCAGTTATCAGATCAGTATTCAGATCAACTCACCTCGGTGTTCATGCTTCTATAGCCAAAGTCATAGTTATAAATCCATTTTTCGCACTGCTCAGAGCTGACAGTCACATTTCCACCATTGATGTCCGCTAGACGCGTGCACGAGGGACTCTCGAATTTGGAATAGATGTCAGCTATCTCCTTATACGTCATGTTAACTAGCTTTTCGTGATAGCACCAATGATCCGGCACGAAGCTAATCACAGTTTGTGTGAAGTAATGCTGCAGTGAATAATACGATAATTATAATTATAAGGTATATCATAATATATATATATAGACTTTGAATACGCACCATTGATACGATAATATTAATGAAGCCAAAGAGTGCGAGTATCATGAACTGATAGCGATTGAAGTCGCCACATTTGGCAAGAATTTGGTCGAAATCCATTCTGGCCTCTACTGAGTGGCTGTATTTGATGTATTAGATGGTTTTGTACTCGAATGGGTTTGTTGTTGTTCTACTTGTTGTTGCCTGACGACTCCACGTGCTGTTGCTGGTCGTTGGACTTTTAATGTAGTGTATCACAATTTGTTATGTGTATTTATGTACATATGTGTGTGTCTGTTGTGTTGGTTTTGTGTGTTGTGTGTTATGTTTTGTTATCCAAAAAATAAATATCTATGCATTTGGTTTACATTTGTTTTGTCTGTAAATACAAAAAAAAAACATGTTCATTGGTAAGATTATAGAGCAAGAGCTTGGAACATGTTCCATTATTTGTACAGGCAAGCTTTCGCTGCATACGTAAATAAATTCAGATTTAATTAGCAAGCGATATGACACAAACAATATATACATATCTAAAGCATTTCAAATTTAATTAAATACATTTTAAGCATATTATTCTTAGGAAACCAATTTATTTCTTATTTTTCGGCATAAATCAACAGCCGGTCATTTTTAATTTTTAATTAAAAATGCAAATATTTAGTTGAAGAGAAAGTTGATTGAAAAAAGTCGATCGACTTTCTCAAAACAAGTGCAAAAAATTTGTTTGTCGCCGTAAATTTTTGTTTTGATTGAACTTTCAGCTTACCTATATATAATTATCTTACTCTTTCTACAATAAATAATAAATAATATATACAGTAACAATTGTTGAAATTGTGTCAAAACGAGTTTTTTGCTTGTGACAGACATTCTGAGCGACAGTTGTAACTAAATTATAATGAATAAGAAACATATTATTTTAACACTTCAACTAGTTAAGCTTAACAGATTATATAAATGGAATATTTCTAGAATCAGTCAGGCCATTTCAAAGATTTATCATTCATCATATAATAGACGAACATAATATGCTAATGCTCAGTTCACAGCTTAAATGGGGCTACATATGGCAACCACTGAGTAAGAATCCAGATTTTTGTTATCGGGCCACTATCGCGGCCTGGGAACTATGGAGTGAGCTATTGCGCCTATCAGTAACACAGTGTTCACATATTAGCAATCGTTTAGATACAACTTTATTGTTTAGGGGAAGCTGACTAACTGGCAGCAGCTGCTGGCTGGCAACTGCTAAATGCCGATGGCTGACTAACTTACAGCCCCGTTGATTAGAGCATTGCTAGCAATAATTGGAATCTCGTCAATGGTTGTCAAGTTGTCCGAAGTAATCAACTTCTAATTGAGTCGAAGCACGTGTTTCTGTTGTCGACTTCATTTCACCTTGTTGCTGAACGCTTGAATAACATAAATTACAATAATTCATCAGAGTACTCTCGTTTTGCATTG